CCCCCCCAACGGCGACTGCAGTTTTTATCGCGAGAAGTGATCCGCCATCACCGGCGTGCCCCGCGCCAGCCCCGCCGCGCTGCTGCCCCCTGGCGGGCCGGAGGTGCGCTCGGGTGCCAAGGATCCCATCTGCACGGCCGGGAGAGTTCTATCGGCTCCTCGTGGCCCGGCTGCTCGCAAGCCCCTCGTTACTCCCTGTTACAGGAGAGGTCACAGAACCATGGAGTTAGATGAGTTAGAAAGCTCTAAAGGCCGTTGGGTCCAACCCCCTGCAATGAACTCTTTGAACCCATAGCTCGATCTGGTTCTCATAGCCCCTCCTGCCTGGCTTTGAATGGATCCCTCCCTCGTCCTGCCAGCCACTTTGCTTTTCGTGCAGCCCAGGATGCGGTTGTCTTTCTGGGCTGAGGGCACAGTGCTGCCATCCATCGGTGCACCCAAGTTCTTTTTGGCAGGACTGTGCTCTATCCTTCCCCCCCCGCCTTGTACCGATAGCAGGGCACTTGGCTTGAACCTCGTGAGGTTCTCCTGGGCCTACTGCTCAAGCCTGTCTAGTTCTCTGTGGATGGCATATCCCAGCACCACGGGCAATGCTCCCTGCCACAGGGAATCCCACAAGTGATCCAGCGAGGGAGCAGCACAAGCACCCTGCTGGTGCCAGCCTTGGTGCTGCAAGCTGGCCCTGCAGCCACACCGCGCCTCACTCATCTCAGAGGCCGCTTCACCTCAGGTGGAAAAGCACGTGGCAATTCCTCTCACGTGAGGTTATCCAGGATACTCCCAGCCCTCCACCCCTGGCCAGAGGAGAAGGAAATGCACATGAGAAAAATCCGTGTGTCAAGTGGAAAACAGTAAAACTGGGAGGGGATTTTATTGGCAAACAAAGGGAGATAAAAATAACCGTGTGAGGCCCAGCGGCAGCGGCTCGCCCCAGGCAGCACGGGTCAGAGGGAGCTGTGCGAGGGAACGGTGTCACGCGGCCAGCACGGTGAGCAGGCTGCAGTAGGAAGGCTGCAGAGGGAGATAGGGACGGCTGCTTCCTGGGCTGAGACGAGTTGACAGCAACGCGCTTTGATTAGGATAGTCATTTCATTAGGATTTCATGAACAACGTGATCGAGCTCTTTCTGTGTCACAGTGTGTAAGGACGTGGGACAAGGCCAGGACTCCTAAACCTCACCTCTCTCCCTGATCTGAGGATTTTGAGCAACTGCATTTACTTCTGCTATGAGACAGAGAAGAGTTCTTGGAGCCCTCTCTCCCATGAAACAATGGAAACATTCTCCTGGAGGCACATGGCAGCCACGCAGGGGCGGCCTGCCCCCTCCAGCCCTGTGGAATTCAAGGAAAGCAGAGCAGAGCTGTGGCTCACCAGGCCAAGCCTTCTGACTCCCCTGCTTCCGGCAGTGCTCACCCCTGTGGTACCCACCAGCACCTCCCTGCCATTCCATGAGGGCCTCAGCACAGCTCAGTAGCTCCCTCCCTATCTTGGAAAATCAAGCTGCTCCAGGTTAGGGCAGATGGATGGGATTTTTGCAGCCCCTGTGATCTCTCTGACAGCAGCAGCTGAAGCAGCCGTAGCACAGTCATGCTGACAGTCACTGTGGCACAGAGTTGAGAGGGTGCTAATCCCTGCAGCTCTGCTGCTAGCAGGGCATGTGGCAGGGGCTGCAGTCCTGGCATCTCAAATAAGTCTTTTCTCCCACATGGTCTCCTGGCCTGCCTGTGCCAACTATGGGCTATCAGCATCCAGCACTGGAAAATGATTCTATATTTGTGATTTCCAGAGAAGCCTCAGCACTACAAACCATGCTCTCTCAATCTTTTGTGACGAATGAAGAGGAAGCAGGGATTATGGAAGTGAGATCAGGAATGTTGCGAGCCTTTCTGTCCTCTTTCACTGAATCCTTTCCCAGTGTCACCATCAATTCCCTTTCAGGAAAAGGTTTGGTGTTTTGTGTGCCAAAAGAAACACTGGGCAGGAAGACACAAATTACAGTCATGCTTGTGCTTTTTAGTCTTAACTAGCTGATTTATGGATTTTGATGAAGCGATTACAGATGAAAGAAAACATTCCAGGGAACAAGATCTACACGTTGCTGAGGTCTCGTGTCTGTCCTTCTGTTCGATTTATAGTGGAAAACAAAATAGGAAAATTACTGGGGGCATTCTGGTCACCGCACAGCCCTTTCTCTCCTGTGCATTTGTGCACCCACTGTGTGCTTGGTGTTGCACCAAGTGGAAGACAGCATCTGCCCCAAAGGGCCTGCGCCCTGAACAGACATGCTGTAGATTTCTGACTTCTGTTGGATAATGATCATGGGGAACAGTAATTGAATCCTGTTGCTCTTCAAATAAATACAGAAGTTGTTTGTCACCACAATCAGAATTTGTATTGCTAATGTGCCTTGAAAACCTTGTCCTGGACCAGGATCCCACTGTACTGCATACAAATGCAGAAAAGATACTATGCCAAGTAGTCTTGGAAAGATAGTGGATAGGTACAGAAAAATAGTAACAAAACTGTTATCAGAATAGAAAGAGGAAATGCTGAGGAGAATAATGAGATTGTCTTGAAGAATATATGCAGAAACCCTCCAAGCATGCAAGCTGCAAAGATGAAAGCACAAGGGCACTTATTTGAAAATTTATCTCATGTTGCAGAAAATGATGTGTAAACAAACTAGAGACAAAAGGCAAATGCTTCCTAATAAAATTAAGACAGGCAGCAATGTGCTGAACAGATCTAGGGAAAGGGACATTGTTTTTGATGCAATCCACGCGTAGTGGAAATGCTTAGTCCAGGCCTGAAACAGTGATTGAACACCTGGTGGGCAGGCAGGGCCAACCCAGGGTAGCTCAGGTGCAAGCAATGCGCCTGAGTGACAGGAAGAGGTGGAGTCAGGATCCATCCCTTTCCAGGTCTCATTTAAGGGTTGGCAGGAAGCAGTGAGGGTTTCTTACTGAAAATCTCCTACCTACTAGAAGCCTTCTAAAGGTAAGCAGTTTTCCTTTCTTTGTTTCTGTCTCCTTAGTTGTTTAGGCTTGTTCTTGTTTTCTGTGGCACGGGACTGTGCTACTCTGCTATTATTGCTATTCTTTCCATTATGTTATCATATTATGGTATTACACTCTGGATGGGCCTAGCAGATAAATGCAGAGATAGGTAGCCTGGCTAAAGCAAGGGTAGAACAACCTTTACAACAGCCTTCTGTTTGAAATGGGGCAGGGCTGCACTTGCTAAGGCTAGGCAGAAGGATGTTGTGGCAACAATGATGCAAGGTAAAATCCTAGAAGGAGTTAATAGGATATAATCTGATGAGGGCAAGGAGAATTTGCCCTAAGAAATGTTCCTCAGAAATGAAACTGAAAGACTCTATGTCACATTGGTACCTCTGTGCCAGAGAGGAAGCTTAGATTACAGGCAAAATCAGAAATGCATCCTTAAGGGCTGGAAAGAGCTACATAAGAAAGGATTGGAAGAGGAAAAATAAGCTCAAGGTATAGCTACTTTGAGATGTGGCTACTGATTAGGTAATTGTGAAAAGGTTTCAGAACAGGTAAAAACGTCAATGCATACAAAATCTGCTTGAATAAGTGTATAACTTGCTGGAATAGAGGATATATCTGATTTCCCAGTTACGGGTGAAGGATCTGTGTTACTCTGAAAGTAGATGGAGAGGGTGCTGTGAGATCTGTGCCCTCCAGACTCTGACAGAGCTAGAGAGAGGATAAGGATTTCAAGAACAGTGAGTTTGCAGCTGGAAAAAAAAACAGCCATTAAAGATGAAAGCACTGAGAAACAGGGAGGTATACAAGCTTTATGGTCATCTAAATATGTGCCTGTAAAGTAATAGAGTGTAACGTAGAGGCTGTCCTCACAAAAGCCTGCAATTCAATAAAGCACAGAGCAAAGGCAGAGCTGGTGCACACAGCCCTGTGCTGCTGCACCCCGGGCTCTGAGCGATGCTGTGCCCTCCTGTGTGGCGGAGGCACGCGGTGCCCTGTGGTACCTCATCGGGGTGGAACCCCAACTGCAGGTGTGCAGTGCTGCAGACCTTTAACCTTCAGCCAGTGTCAGTGATGGTATCAGCACTTCTTTCCACACAGGGCTTTTCTGCTGCCTCAGCAGTTGCGTTAGAACAAACAAACCGCAGCTGTGAGTTCACGTGTGAAAAGCAGTGACTTCACGAACTGCCTGTCTGTCCCTAACCTGCCTGGAGGGAGCGGACCTTTAGGCATGGGTAACGAGGCAGCGCTCCGGGAATGTTACAGCACTGGCTCGTTGTTAAGATGCACAAGATTAAGGTTTTCTTTATTTACAGAAGGAGCAGCCGTTCTGCTCGGCTCTGGAACCCAAAGCGCCCCGCGGCGCCGAGCCTCCGAGGTGGGCGGCGGGGTCAGGCTGCGCGAGGTGAGCCGCTGCGCCTTCCCGCCTTCCCGCTCCGGCCGCTCGCCATTGGCCATCGCCCGGCGCGGCGCTCACCTATTGGTTGCGACCGGTGCCGGGAGTCGCCTCACCGCCGGGGCCGCTCGCTCCTCATTGGCCGGCGCGCTCGGCCCAGCGCGGCAGCGGGCCGTTAGCGTTGGAGCAGGAGGGGGGCGGCTACTCCCGACATCGCTACGGCGGCCGCCGCGGGCCCAACCGCGCGTTCCGCGAAGCTGCCGGCGGCCAGCATGGATACCGGGAAGCGGACGGAGGCCGGGGGCTGCGCGGAGGAGGCGGCCGGGCCCGTGTTCACGTTGGAGGAGGTGGGGAAGCGGAACTCCAACCGCGAGGCCTGGCTGGTCATCCACGGGCGCGTCTACGATGTCACCCGTTTCCTGGAGGAGGTGAGGCGGGGCGGGGTCCGGCGGGCCGGGCCAGGGGAAGGGCCGGGCCGGGGGTCGGGTTGGAGGTGCGGGTGCGCAGGGCCCCTCCGTGTCCCGAGACCGGCCCGGAGAAGGAGGGAGGAGAGGAGGCCCGGGCCCGCCGGGAGCCCCGCGCTGTAATGGGCGCGCCGCGGCCTGCGGTCAGAGCCCGGCGGTGCGGCACCAGGCCGGCTGCGCCTCTCTGCCGTGAGAAAGCGGCTTGGAAGGGCCGCGGTGCGCTGTGACATCTCCGGTTCCCTGGCTGCAGGGACGAAAATTGTGTCTAGGACTCGATGCTACTATTGCTTCTAACAGAGTTGTTAGAAGCTGCTTGTCCTTGCTGTTTGGAGCTAAAAACAGAGCGCGGTGAAGTGCTAACAAAATTTCCAAAGGGTTTTTGTCTCAGCTGAAAGTAACGCCAAGCCCTCTGTCGTATCCGTAGGTAACAATGAGAGCTGGTTTGAGCCGGCTGTAGGAGAGCACTTCATTACAAATCTTCAAGTTCCTGCTTGCTGGTTTTGCTTGTGTAAATTAAACCTCTGTTTTCCTGCAGGCATGTATGATTAAAGCACGTCTGCTATGTACTCATCGCATCGCATGTAGCGACAAACCCCTTTGGTGAGGTGTAAGAGGTTTTCCAGATAGGAGGAGGCTGAGAATGTGGCAGCTGGAAGCAGTGGCTTTCTGTGTAGCTTTCCAGTGTTTGTAGACAGGATATAAAGTTGCATATGATTTATTTTGCTCTTAGGATCCAGCATCATAATGCTTCATTCTGAATCTCATTTGCGCTTTGAGTCTTCCTCTCAATACTTAGAGAGCCTCTAAGGTATGTCAGTGTACATATGAGGAATTTCAGTCACTCTTACCATGGTGGCTTGAGATGGCCTTTGCGATAGTTAGATTTTCACTGCTTGCAGCTTTTAAACCAGAAATTACTATTTTTCCTTTCAGGGCTGTAAATGAGTCCTGGCTTCTAGCTCCTTTGCTCAGCTCTGCCTGCTCTTAATACTCAAGCAGTGTTTTCAGGTGTCTTTGTCAGGTGCAGGATCTGAAAAGCAGCCTGATGAGCACCTATTGTTCTTGGGCATTTGATATGTGTGGGGGCTCCAGGCACCCAGTCCATAGGAAGGCTGGAAGAAGGGATCTGTAGGACAGTGGGATGGTGACTTGTGGAAGTGTGGCTGCAGGGTGCTGGGCACAGCACGCCATCAGCTGACACTCAGCTGCTTGTTGTACAGGAGAGCCCACAGCTCTATCTGAGATGCAGGACTGGTTGTACACCTAGCTGTGTATGTCCACAAAAGTACCTGTGCTGTGCTGTAAAGAGCAGTCAGGGTGGGAAAGGGAAGACAATCCTACTAAGCATGGCTTAGCTCAGGAAGCCACTGAACAGTGGAGCTATGAGCAGAATGAAGGTCTGTGAGCAGTTTGGGCAGCTGACTGCTGCCTTTATGCATCATCCCCCTCATGTTTGTGTTCCGTGGCGTTCGGTCAACCTGTCATCTGGCACCTGTCATGTTCCTGAGAGTAGGGCACAAAACTGGGCTCAGCAGCTCTGCTAACCAAATGAAGTGGACAGGGTGGCAGGGCAGATTTTGAACACTTTTTATTATGTGGGTTTCTGAAAGCATTCATGTTTGCCTGCCTCTAAACACTTAGTACAAGGAGCAGGGGAGCATCATAGAAGCTGGCTGCAGCCTGTTTCAAAACAAACAATGTTTCTTCACACAACAGGGAGCAGACCTTTCTCACCAAAGAACATTAAGGATGCAAGAAGGTTAGGCAGCTTCAGGGGAAGACGGGACAAAAATGTGGAAAAGTAATTCACTATTTGTTTCTAAATAACAAAGCACCTGGGGCTTAGGAAGAGCCAAAACCAGCTGGAAGCTGGGGAGGTACTTGCAGGAAGCATGTGCCCTGTCTTATATTTGACTCAGTGTATGATTACGGTTGTTGCTTATTGCTTTCAGAATTAAGAGATAGGAAAAAAATAAATCTTGGACGATTTTTTTTTTTAGAATCACAATTTCCAGGGTATTTATCTGCAGACCCATGGTGTGTATGACACTTTTGCAGCATGGGTGCTGTGCAGTGGTCACAGTCTTCACCTTGGTTCTTTCTGCTAAGATGGCATCTGGATTCTGCTTTCTGGAGTGCCTTCAGAAAATTCCTTTGTTCTACCCCAGCAATTTGGGTGGAGTGCTGTAGATGTTTCATACAAAAGAAATTTGTGTTGCCATTCCCAAGCCCTTTCTCCCATTTGTATTTTTCTGACATAAAAATTTACTTGATTAGGGAAGGAAGAAGAGTAAGGCTACCCTTGTAAATATAGTAGTGTGGCTAGCAAATGCTCTCTGCTATCTAAAGCTTGTAAACATAAATCACAGCCTAATTTATTGGTAAAAATACACTTTGTATCTGTTATCCCACTGTAATCAGTCCAGTGACAGGAGAACAATGTGTAGCTGATCAGAACCAGGAGTGTTTTCTTGTTTAAAGGTTACAGTTGTCTGATAAACTGTTCTGCTTTAAAGCTCCAAGTTGTTGTAACTGCAGCTATCAAAGTTTCAGTGGGTAATATTTTCCCTTGATCTTGTGTAGTCACTGAAGCAGTGTCTAATTGTTGCCTTTTCTGGCCTTTGGCCATGGATTATTTGAACAAGATTGCTGAATTCTGCTGGAGCATTGCCTCGGAGCAGTTTGTTATCTCTAAGAAGCCTCCTTGCTAGAAGGTTGTTGAATGTTGCTTCATGATTTCTGCAGCGTAGGTGCAGCAGGTCAGCCGTTAACTAGCCAACTCAAAATCTGTGTGCTAGTAGTAGGAAAACAATATTGAAATCTTTTTCTCTGCACATAATTCCTGCATACTCAGATGTATGTGAAACCAAAACTGTGAGGGAGAAGGAGGAATGTCAGGGATCTGGTTTTCCTTATGCTGACTTGTTCTAGTGCTATGGAGACAGACTTAGGGAAACCTGCTTCATGTCTTCAACAAGTTGTGAAGGGCGTGTGGTTGATGAACACCATTTGTGTAGGTGTTTTTCTGGGCTGATGGTACTGACACATTGCTATGGCATAGAAATACTCTTTCCTTTCATGGCATATTTCTCTAATAATGGCGTCTGGAAATTAAAGCTTTTGCATCTCTTCTGAATTTGATTTTGTCTTATCTGATCCAGCAACCTAATTAACCACAGTTTGCTGTTGCTTCTGAACTCACTGGTAGTTTGCCACGGGTCTGTAAGGGTGGCTGCCACATGTGGACAGGCACTTGGCATTTGTGGAGAGACAGCTCCAGGCTCTCACCTTCTGCATCGAGTTTCTGTGTTGCATTCTCTGAAGCCTTTGCCATGTGCTGTCAGCAGTGCAGTTAGTTCTGACTGCTGCTGCTACACATCCCTTCTAAAAGCTTTGCAGAGAGAGAGCATCTCCTTGGCTTTCACCAATAAAACCTTGCTGGCTGAACACAGAACATGAGAAATACATGAGCTGCTCCTAAATACTAATTAGAGGGAGAGTCATCTTATTTTACCTGCTGCCTTAGAGCATCAGTGTGTATTTAAGTTCGGATTGCATATGGGGTTACTCAGTGTCCTGCTGCTATTCTCTGCCTTGTGGGAGCCAGTCTTGGACTCAGAGAGCTTGATTCAAAGGTCACATGAAAATGATTCATTTGAGATCATCTGCTGTAGCTCCAAGTATTATGCATACTCTGCAAATCCTGGGTTTTATTCCACCTTATCCTTCTGACTGCGACAAGGGCAGCCACCTATCCCTGTGCTGTGGGGCTACGGAGTGCCTTGTGCTCGTGGCAGCTGCTGCTTGTGCTCCCAGACAGCAGGGTTCCCTCTGTAGAGCTGTTTCCTCTGCTCAGTGGCACTGGGTATGTCCTTCCAGGACCAGTGCCTTGAGACTATTACTGCTGCTGTCATCAGGTACTTAATGCATTATGTATGTGAGACTCCAGAGACAGGGAGGTCCTGGTTACACTATTGTTGCTAAGGAAGAATTTGAAGGGCTGGCACTTGGGCCTGTCTCTTATTCTCGTTGGCTTTTGTCTGTTCGTTTTCACAAGGAGAAAAGCTTTATTTTTGGTCATTATTTCTTCTGAAAGTACATTTTATTTACAGAGTTTGCCACGCTTCTCAAAGTTTGTGTTTTTCTGCAGGAGCTGTAGCTTTAGGAAGTTTTGTGCCAGAGTAGATGACTTGTATAAATAGTCTGGTTTTATATGTGCTTGGGTATGACAAGGTAAGAGCTGTCTGGCTGCAGTTGTGGGTGTCTAGACTAGAGAGTTCTGTCAGAAATAAGATATGCCAAAAATTTCAGATTTTTTTCTTTGGCTTAGTGATAATGATGGACAGATGTGCATGAGCAAATAATTATTGGAGATTTAGCAAGTGCATAGGAAGGCTTCAGAACCAAACATGCAAAGAGGAGTAACCTTTGCCATTCTCTCTTGCACTGGTTCCCACCAAAAGCAGGCAGCCACTCCATGTTCTGTCTTACTGCAGGGTTTTGTCTGCTCATCTAGGATGGATGACTAGGAAAGCAGGGTAATATTAAAAAAAAAAAAAAAAATCTCAGTTCTGAAATGAGATTTCTATCAAGATATTCCAAAAGAGTTCTTGTAGAAATCTTAATGGTTGGCCCTTCATCCCCTCATTTCTTTGCAAATGGATCTTTACAAGAGTGTTCTGTAAACTGGGCTACTGCACACATCATGCAGAACAAGATGCAGCATCCCACCACTACAACCATGTCTGACAGTGTGAGCTAAGGAGTGCTGTGGTGACCTAAAGTGGTCCTGCTGCAGCCTCTGCTCCTTGTGACTCTCATGCACCCAGGTCTGTAGTGAGTTCACTCACAATGACCAGCAGGCAGTCATTTCCTTTTTTTGGTGGGCTGGTTTTCTGCTACAGCAGCCCCTGACCTGGCTGCCTGTGAGATCAGGTGAGCCTTGGTGCAGGAGCAGTGCGACATGTGGCTGGGCTCAGAGGGGAGCAGCAGAGCGGAGCCTTGCTTGGTTTTACAGCTGAGAAGAGCTAATACCTGAGTGCTGCCCAGCTGCCTCCCAGGCCTGCAGACTTTGCCCTTCATGGTTGCTGAGAGAGCTCTGTGTTGATTGTGTTACATACCTGGCCAATAAAGGGATTTATTCAGAATAAAGAGCTCTGATACGGGGATTGGAGAGTTGGCTGCAGCAGCTCCCTGGAGTAAGCAACTGTACTGTTTTTGTGTCCACATGGAGTATGTTTGGTATGAGGTGGGATAGCCAAGTGAGAATATTTAGGCTTTTGGGAGAAAAACCAAACAAGCTGAAGAAAGAAGGGCAATAACAACTGTTCTGTGTCTGTGGGAAGGAAAAGGGTATTACAGAGGAAAAACAGGTCTTTTAGTCCTTTAATGTGAAATTTACTCTAAATTCTTCAGTTCCAGGCTTCAGGTTGTTAGAGGAATTTCAGGCAGGCATTGAGTGAGTCTCATCTTCTCATGCAGCCATTTAGTGCCTGTTGCCTAGTGCTCTGCAAAGCTGGGTTAGTCCTTGTGTGTGGACTCAGCAGTCTGATCACTTTATTGGTTTAACTGGATTAGCTGGTAGTTTAAGCAGAACTATTTCTTCCCATACACACACTGTAAATAGATTGTACACTGCTGGCCTTGTAGTTACTGCTTTCTATTGCCAATCTGTTCCTGGAATTCTGGTACTGACAGTGTTGAGAGCCCAACCCATCAAGGAAAATAGCACTGCACTAGGGATTTTTCAGTCTGTGCTGCTTGGTCTTGTCTGTGGCCGTCTGTCACCACCAGCAATGCCAGTGTTGTGGGGGTGTCCTGTGTATATGGTGTTTCTGTTGTTGCAGCTCCTGAATTTCTGAAATCAGTATGTGATGTCAAACGGTAGATTTAAGTACTTTTCTTTCTCCACCAGGTACCAAGTAGCTGTATGCTGAATCAAGTTCAGTACTGGTGCAGCTATGCTCAAGCTATAGCTTCTTATGTCACTGCAGCTTCCCTTTGTTCTTCTCCACTCTTCATTGTACAGCTACATGCAAAGGCTGTTGTTTTTTTGTCAGATCTGAAGAAGTAGAACATCATTTCCTCCACTGATGCCTGTGAATGCAGCATTGTCTTGTGCTTCACTGAGAGTTGAGTTGTCTCCGGAAAGTTCTTAAGAAAAAATAATGCAGCAGAGGCTCCTCTGCAAGAGAGTCTGGTTTGTGCAGTGAGGCCAATGAAAAGGTACATGAGGATATGCTTTCTTCTGTAATATTTTCTTGCCTAAATCGGTTGCAGAATTTTAGGAGAGTTGGTTTTGCTGTAGGGGGCTAAGCTGTGCTTCTCTGTGTAAGTTGGAGATTTGCCTCTTTGGAAAGGTTTTTATTTTATGCAAGGTATTTCCCAGGCTGTGCAGCATGCATTGTTCTTTGTGACTTCCTGAAGCAGAGGCTGGATGACTGAATCTTTGGTAGATGCTACTGATGTTGGTTTCATTCATAAGGAATGAAAAGGGCCAGAAAGGCTGCTGAGAATCTGGATACCTCTTTTGCACTCAACCTTTTGTTCACCTTAAGTCTTCTCTTTCAGCATCCAGGTGGAGAAGAGGTTTTGCTTGAACAAGCTGGAAGAGATGCCACAGAGAGCTTTGAAGATGTTGGTCATTCCACAGATGCCAGGGAGATGCTCAAGCAGTACTACATAGGGGAGGTCCACCCGGTAAGGACCAGCCCTCTTTCAAACACAGGATAGGATGCTGTAGAAGTGTGCCTTTCCTTTACGTAAATGTACACCAAGATGAGTCTTGCACAATAAGTAGTTAAGTTTTTATACAGTGTCACCCAGGATTTCTGCTGAGGAAAGAGGATTGCTGCTGAAAATAAAACCAAATTAGTTTTCTTTTCCCACTGTTCAGAACAGGTTTCTCCCTTCAATTAAATTGGTGGCACTTAAAGGAGCTAACCATATCAGCTGCTCCTTAGCTGATAGTACTATAACTTCCTTGTGCCTGTAGTTTAGAATTCAGGAAGATGAGAGATGACGGGCATGACACAAACACCAGCTTCCTGCCTACTACAAATACAGTGCCTTTGGATGCTGTAGATATGTCTGCTTTGAAAAGTGGAGTCCAGGCAATTGCTGGTATGATGCAGACTGTGTACAGAGCAATTCCCTCATCATGACTGTAATGACTGCAGGTTTCTCTTGAAGTCACTGCTTATCACTTTTTTCCTTTTTCTCTGCCTATGACAGGATGACCGTAAAAAGGGAGGTTCCAAGGTAAGCTATTCATGTTTTACTGTTCCATTTTATTTAATGCTGAGGAAACTATATTATGCTTACAAAATGAACAAAGAAGTCACCACACCTTTTATTTTGCTCTTTCTTTTTGTCTTTTTCCTCTCTGTGGAGTTTGTGGCTTTATGCTTACGAACTACAGAAACAAATCTTCTAAGCAAATGATTCCTTTCTTCTTGTTCAGAAGCTCAGCAAGCACTTCAGTGTGAAAATGGAAGTGTTTTTTTTGTGCCTTCTCTTCTCTGACATCAGCAATGCTATTTCTACACCTTGAGCCACAGACTATATTTTTGCAGTACTCACTGTGTCCTGATGACTGAACTGTTAGTGTTGTTACATTCAAGCCAAGAGACAGGCGCAGCCACCATGGGATTGGCTGTAAAACAAGAATTCTCTGTTAACTGCCCTAGAAATCATAGGTGTTGGTTAAAACTTGGGTACTCCTGGATTAGAATGGGATACAGTGTTGCAAAAATGCCTTCAAAACGGATAGGGAGAGGGAAATGGTAATAAATAGAATACCATCTGAAAGGTAAACATGTGTCCTGCAGCTGGTTTCTCTTCTTGCTTGGCTTGAAAGCTTGGACCAAGCACAGCTCTGTTTTCAACAACACTTTCATTAGATGTTGTTTGAAGCAGGGCTACTTGCAGGGTACTGGGAATCAATAATATCAACAGAGAGCAGCAACTGAAGCCCTTGGGAGAACTTGGTTATTACAGTCAGTCATAGAAAGAAAATAATTCATGCTAGGTAAAGCCTATTCATAGTTATAAAGCAGGGCTGCATGATTATGCGTTCACCTTAACATTATATTGTTTGGTTCAACTCTGTTTCATTTACAGAATGATGTGCTTAAAATGTGCATAGAAATTAATCTGAGCTATACTGCTGGATATGAGTTAAATATTTTTGCAGATATTTTTCTATTCTAAACAAAGTCCAGTGGGTCTTTCTCTAGTGTGCAACATCTGTTTTAAAAGTGGACCCAAGTATAATTTGAACAGATGGAAGTAATGTGGATCCCACCTATTTATTTTTTACCAGGAAAAAAAAGTGACTGCATACTCTTATGACTCAGGTCAGAGGTAACTCCCCACAGTTAAATGTTAACGTTTAGCGTCCACTGATGGGGTGTTGTGGCAGAAAAGAAAGCACTACGATTCTCAAGAAGTGGAGGTAATATTGTTTAGAATGGACAAGTAAGGTGGTTTTTGGCTGGCAGATATGGGAGAACAGCAACAGCCACTGAGAAAGAGGTTGTAGAATTGATAAAGTAATTTTCAGCTGACTGGAAAAAGTACTTAATTCTCAGATTTTTTTTTTTTTGAAAATAGTATTAAAGTTTGGAGACAGGTTGTATGTGAAGGAAGATTCAAAGAGACTTTGCAGTTGTATGTGTCAGTGGCCAAGCAGTAAGATAGCAGATAGGGATGCAGACAGAGGTTTGGAAAAGGGATCATGGTGAGATGATTATCTGTATCAGCATGAGCTGGCAATGTGCACTTGCAGTCCAGAAGGCCAACCATATCCTGGGCTGCATCAAGAGAAGTGTGACCAGCAGGTTGAGGGAGGTGATTCTGTCCCTCTACTCAGCTCTCATGAGACCCTACCTGGAGTACTGCATCCAGTTCTGGAGCCCCCAACACAAGAAGGACATGGAGCTGTTGGAGCAAGTCCAGAGGAGGGCCATGAAGATGATCAGAGGGCTGGAGCACCTCCCCCATGGGGACAGGCTGAGAGAGCTGGGGCTCCTAAGCCTGGAAAAGGTTCCGAGAAGACCTTATAATGGCCTTCCAGTACCTGAAGGGGCCTATAGAAAACTGGGGGGAACTTTTTATCAGAGCAGGTAGTGACAGGATGAAGGGAAACGGTTTTAAACTGGAAGAAGGTAGATTTAGATTAGATATTGGGAAGAAATTCTTGACTGTGAGAGTGGTGAAACACTGGAACAGGTTGCTCAGTGAGGTTGTGTATGCTCTGTCTTGGAAGCATTCAAGGCCAGGCTGGATGGGACTGTGTCCCTGCCTATAGCAGGGGAAGTTGGAATTAGATGATCTTAAAGGTCTCTTCCAACCCAAACCATTCTATGGATCTATGATCATCGGTTACCCTCTGTGTCACATAAAAAGAACAGAGAGGTTTCAAGATCATTTTTTGTTTTGAGAGTTCCAGTTGAAAATTGAGAGCTGGGTGGGAAGGTTTAGCCTAATAGAATGTGAAGGTGGGGAGGAGGGCAAACATCCCCAGAAGCATCTACACTTCTGAGAGAGAGAATGTTTAGAAAAGAAAGAGGAGGGTTATTTTTCCTCTGCTTTTGCAATTGCATGTCTAGTCTTGCAGTCTTATTAGCATGACTTAGGATATTTTTTTTCCTGCTAACTCCCTCTTTCTTCTTTCAGGATCAAAATAAGACATCCTCAGGACAAGCAAGGTATAGTATCTTCTTAAGAGCAAGAAACTGGGAGAATGGGACTCTCCATTTGTGTAACTGTAGATTAGCTCTAGCAGGCAGGAAAAAAATTGAGATGTTACTGTACTGTTATTCCAACGAGCGGGTACTCCAAAATAAGCTGCCAAACTGCATGACACTGGGTTAGCTGTGCATCTCTCTTGTTGGAGATGGAGGTGCAGCCAGTGGTGAGACATCTCTTCACACTGAGCAGAGCAGGCACCCTGGGATTTTTTAGCTTGAATTCTCTGTCCACGTGTTCACATTGCACAAGTGTAGTTGCACTCCTCTTGTGGGTACTCACAACAGTGTGCATTTTTTCGAAGGATCTTTATGGTGACCAGTGCAATTTAGTTGAGAATTCAGGAGTGCTTGTAACCAGAACACAAACTTAGTCTTTTCTATTAGGATTTTTTTTTTTTAAGGAGGCTGCTGAAGGTGAGCCTGTGCCTGTGGTCTCAGGTTTATGAGTAAGGATGATTTATTGTGGGGTAGCTGTAGTAATTTCCATCCTTGAGTCAACTCGGCTGTTTGTATAGCATAAATTGACAGTCTGGCTTATTTCAGAAAAGAAAACAACAAAAAACTCAAATTGGTTTCTGTATGTGCCAGGCTGGAAAGTTCAGCAACCCAGCTGCTGTTTTATAAGCAACCAAGCCATCCCTGCAGTTGCAGGGGCCTCTCACAGGGGCGGGGAAGCCCTGAGCATGGGACAGCTAGAGCTGTTCTGTCCTCTGTCCTGAGTAGTCGATCTGTGAGCTGGTGGGAGATGGGTGAAAACAGATGTAGCAAGTAGTGAATGTATTGAATGTGTTATTAACTTAATACTTTCTTCTTTTTTTGTGTGTGTTTCGGTGTGTGTTTTTTGTTTTTGTTTTATCCTCCCCATAGCTTCTGGTCAACATGGCTAATCCCCATCTTTGGAGCACTAGTCATAGGTTTAATGTATCGCTATTACATAATGGATGGGAGATCGTCTTGAACTGACCTTGATAGGACCTCAGAAAGTCTGAAAAAGCAGGTATGAGAGAGAGTGCATGCACGCAACACATGGAATTCTGGTTTCCTTCACCTTTGATGCCTTGCTTTTAGCTTTGTTGAGTGATGTTCATATCCATGGGACCAAGGTCATATCAAACTGTCTTAATTCTGCCACCCAGGAATCTGTCATACTTGAGTTTTGCTGTGGCAGAGCAAGTGAAGCATCCTGTTATTGTTACATCTGTGTGTGGTCTCCCTGGTGTGTGCGTGCTTGCACTCTCTCTCTCTTGCTCACTGAAGTAAAACACAGATAACCTTTTCCTTTCAATGCCTTTTTGTTAAGCCAGACAACATGAAACAGCTGCTAGTGAGCCTGTGGATTTGCCTCAGTACTTCACACAGCACTGTCAGAAATAAACTGCAAATTATCTACAATCCTGTCCAGAAGAGATTTTGAGAGATTCAATTCCACAGTAACTTTCTCAGTGCATGCAGGCAACACTAATTGGAGCAGCAGGAAGTTGTTAGCTTTGCTACCTCTTTCTGTGTCTGTTTTTAACGGTTCAACAAATATAAATATTTTAAAAGTGATCCTGTTGATTTTGTAATATTTCTACTTGTCCTTTTAACATGTATATTCTGTGAAACAATGTATGCCTTGGATCCTTGTTTGTTCGGGTGCTTTTGTGCTGTGTGTGGCAATGCTAGAAATGGGAACTGACGTGGCTTCTTGAGATGGAGTTTTTTCTTTCTCCCTGGGATTTTGATCCAACACATGTATTGGAAACAAAACTCATTCTTACTGCCTGTGAATCTGTACCAGATGGGGGGCAACCCACAAATAATCCTGCCTCTCCTTCCTAAATAAAAAGGGAAAAGAAATCCATCTGGGATTTGTGCATAATGCTGTTTTTATCTTGGAATAAATATGGGAGGATACTTTGCCTTGTAGCCAGCCTCCAGCAGCACAGAGGCGGGTGTGCTTCGTGCAACATGAGGCATGAAGCTTTCCAGTCTTCCAGCTGGAGAGGTGGTTTCAGGATCTGTTATCAGAAAGGAATTTGTGTTCCAGGGTCTTACATCCTTTAATGGTTTGATGCTTATTCCTAATCCAAATGTTGCAGCAGAGCAATTCACCTTTCTGAGTTGCAGCAAAAGAGAAGCCATATAATGTTCTGTTTATGAAAACCTCCTGTAGGTTGTGTTGTTTTTTCCTTTTCCATGAAATCACTGTGCTCCTCAGAAGTTTGTTTAGAAGTCTCTTACATTTAGAATTACAGTCCTCCTCTTTAAAAATGAAGGCCAAGGCACTGCATAGCTATTAGGAGTGGAGCACACTGCTGGGGCTCCCTCTACTCCTCTTGGTCTGGTTGTTCCCAGCACCATCAGGTCATGTTCCTCAAATGCTGTTTTAGCAGAGCTGCAGCAAAAGCCCCCCCAGGAGTTTTTTTCCTTTTCAGGATGTTATTCCATTGATTGTTTTGTCTTATACAGTGAATTATCTGGCCTGCCTTGTGTGCAGCACAGGGAAGCCTAAAGCTTGCTGTTGTCTAAGTGGCTCTTGAATACTGTGTTCATCCCTCATTTTGTTCTGGCTGGTTTGGTTGTCTGATTTCTGTTTATTCATTTTAACGAGAGCAAAAAGATAAAATTGTGCCAAGGAATATCTAGTAGGAAAGATCTGGGTAGTTCTATTTAGGTGTATTGATAAAGGTAACAGGCCATATAGTCTCACAGGTCTTAAAGTATGCAATGGGTCAGTCAATCTGAATTTATGGAGAATAAATCTATCAGTCTAACTTGATATTTTTATATTTGAGATTAGTTGAACTGCTTAGGCTTCTGGTTGAATTGATAGTGCAAGGTATATTGCATGGTTTAATAAAATTAATACAGAGATCACAAGGTCAAAGTAAAAAGGGAAGGATTTGATTTAACAGTGAAAGGGCAGAGCTGCTCAGTGAGCGTGTTCCAGTTTTATCTCAAAGAGCAGTTTGTGTACTGTGGTGTTTGAAACTGACCTGGAAGGGAGACAAATGCTCCCCAGCAAAGCCAGAGAGCGGGCTGCTGGCTGAGGTGAGCCACTGGCACTGAGCCACCAGGGCTGCTGGTGAGCTCCGTGCTGGGCTGTCTGTCGGGAACTGCGGGATGCCAGGCTGCATCCTGAGAAGCGTGCAGTGCAGCATCACACCAAGGAGGTGGCAGAGCGTGACACCAGGGGTAAAGGTTGAGTGCGTTCCTCTCCTGCAGTAGTGGGAGCTCTTGCCTGCATTTGGCACTGCTACTTCAGGGAATGAATGCTACGGCTATGCCTCTGACTTTTAAAAATTTAGAGGAAAAACATGTAAATGATTAAAAGCTTGGAAAACATTATTTCTGGTGAGACAGTTGAGCTCAGTGTAGCTTATCGAAGTAAAGGTTACAAAATTGCAGTATGGAGGTTGTTGCATGTGGAATAGAAACTTGACAAAGGGCTTTTTGATCTAGAGGATGAAGCTGAAGTTGAAAAAGGTCCACTTGTTAAAGCAATTGCAGTTCAAACTGGAAACAGATATTTTTGCACATTAATCATTAGGTCATTAACTATGGAAACAGCTTAGCTAGATTTATAATGGATTCTCTATAAAGCTGAAGTTTTAAAGCTGGAAGGCATGTTTTTCAAACATCTTATTCGGATGAGAATTATTTCAGGAGAGTCCTGAGCCCTCTGCAGCAGTCAGAGGGATTGGTTTTAGGAACCAAGGAAAGGAGCTGCTGGTGCTGGCTGATGTGGTGGTAACAAATTTGTCTTCTCCACAGGCATCATTTTACCTGCATTTTGACAGAGTTTCATTTTTAAAATATAGTTTTCCCGATGCTCTTTGCATTCAGCTGCATTTTGACTGCTCTGAGTAAATTTTGCCCTTACCTGCTGCTACTTATAGAATCACAGAATCACCAAGGTTGGAAAAGACCTAAAAGTTCATGCAGTCCAACTGTTCACCTATTACCAATAGCTCCCACATGCTGAATTTCCATTTGCCATGTTGCCTTTTTTCTGTTGCTGCTTCCTTTCAACCCATTAACTACCCATGAAAGACCTCCAGGCTTGTTATGTGGCATCTTTGTGTTTTTAAGTGCCTTTTTGAATGTCTCCTGGAAAGCAAAAGCAACCTCTGCCAAACAGCTGCCCTTTTTCTGCATGCAAGCTGGCCCATCAGGGAGCTCAAGGGACTTGAGCTTCAATTGCAGGAACTACATCAAGGCCTTCTCCAAATTTACCTGCTAGGAGCAGCATCCATCAGTGTTCCTCTGAAGGGCACTGGCTCTGCTGATCCCGGGTGCTGGATGCTGCCTGCTGGGCACAGCCCCCATCTCCTGTGGCTCACCAAGTGATGGCCAGCAGGCCTGAAAGTGCTCAGCACATGAAGGAGGCATTAACAAAATTGTTTACCCATTTTATATGAGGATTAAAAAAGGAGGATCCCAAGTCTTTGTACTGGTGCTTAACTCCTGTGTTGCTGGGGCTGGCTTTAGTGCAGCTGCAGCATGCAGGTGCTACCTCAGCTCTTGTCCTGCCAGAAAACTCCCTGAAAAGGGAGGGCATGTGCTGCAGGCTTCCTGTAGGTGAAGGAGAAGAACCTACGAGGTGAACTGCAAACGGGCATGGAAGCAGCATGTGCAATCAGCATCACAGTGCTGGAGCTGCCTTGGGAGCACTTCGGAGCTGAATGCTGGCAGCCCCTGCCTCTTTGTGAGCCCCAGTTCCTTATTAGCAGAATGCTTCTGTACACGGACTTAAGGCATACAGAGGAAGGGAGGGCTGGGAGCTCCAAATGTGTTGCAATTAGCTTATAAATGGAACAACTGTGAGAGGAGGTTTAGTTTGTCATGGTGTTGCAGTACCAGCCATTGTGAAGGATGTATGGTGCCAGCTCCTGTAGGGTGAGCTGGGCTGTGCCTCGTTAAATAAGTGTGCAATGAGCAAGTGTATAATGCTGTCTACAGCAGCCACCAAGTGTACAATTAGTCCATTAGTGTTTAGCATCAAGTTTTACTGCACTCTTAGACATCTAACTATTGTTACTGTTTCTGAATTTCAAGTATTTGTTACATTTTATAAATCTGACCAGCTCTCATTCTATGCATTTGAGGCCCAGAGTTTCCATACACCCCCTGGATGAATAGAGCCAGCCCAAAGGATGGGGGAAGCACAACAGCTGTTTGCTGCTTCCCACTGTGGTCCTCCCAAAGCACCAAGCTTTGTGGGAAGGGGATGCCAGCATGAGCTGAGCTACATCACTGAGAAGGAAGCTGAGCTGTGGAGCTGTGACTTGGATTCTTGAAAATGGCTGGGTATAGATGTAGAGTGGTTTGAGCAGGAAAAATTTGGCCATGACAGTTGTTCTACTTAAAACTAATAACGAGTTAAAGCTGAGAAAATGTCGAGCTTTTGCAGATGCAGGATTTGTCTTCCTGTCAGAGGAAAAAATCCTTCAGATGGCATCAGTTAAAAGTGAGCCTCTGCCAAAGATCTTGTTCAGAGCATTGTAACCAAGCAGCACGATTGTTCCTGCACTGTGCCAGGAAAGTGACAATTTCTGGACAAACAACGTGTGAGCAATGCTGACCAGATTTGGTGGCAGGGGGGAGCGAATGGGGTTCTCCGCAGCATTCATTCCATAGTGGTCTAAACATGGATAATTTTCAAGCTTGCAGTTAATAAACATTGTGCAATCACTCTCCTTCTGTTCTAAACTTATTCGTAAGGCAGATCTCCATGGCCAGCCAGTGCACTTATGTGGCTGAGTACTGTCTTGTCTTTCCAGTTTCATGAATGCCTGCTCTTTGGTCAGCAGATGCTGATTCTGCACATTATCTAATACTGTATGTAATAACAATAATTTGACTTTTTATAATCACAGGTGTAGTGAAAGGCCCTGATAAATTCCAGTCACCTGCTCAGGAAGTGTGATGAGTGAGCAGCAAAGAAGTTGTCAGATAAGTGCCATAAGGTCTGTTCCTGTGACAGTATGGCTGCGTGCTCGGGGATGAGCTCTGGGCAGCAGAGCATTGCCTCGTGCCACCACGTGCTTGCCAACATTCCAGCAGCACATGAGAACACAAACCATCATGGCCATGTATGTGGGAGAAGGATCTTCAACAGAAAGATGAAAGGGACACAAAAAACACAGCATTTATTTACATGAATACTTATAAAGGAGTGTATCTTCCCACTCCCACAGCTGTCAGCAGCATCTAGATCTAGAATTTATCTAATTGCAGCTTTCATGGGAGCTGCAGCAGCCGCGTGAGAAGCAGTACCTGGCTGGGGCATCCCAGGAGTGAGCAGAACAGCAGCGAGCACAAACCAGCAGCTGCTGATGTGGTAAGCAGGCAAGGAAAATCAGTGAGAACCGGCTGCTGTGGTCCTGGATGTTAGCTGACACAATCTGGGGACCAAGGGAACTGGTAGCACCAGTCAGCTACGAGATGAAGCTGCCATGTGGCTCTGAAGCTCTTCATAGATAGAATGTCCATCCTTAGCGTTACATAGTCCCACTCTTTACTCCTTTTAAAACCCGAGTTAGCCAGATAGTTGGGAAATCACTAAAGCACACGCTGCTCAAGTGCCCAGCTGATGCAGCCATTGGAGCAACGAGGAAACTCCTGATTGTTGCTAATGACGGTACTAACGATCGTCTCGTAAATAGCAGCCGGCCCAGTGGCCTCCAGCGGCCCAGTGCCTCCATTACGAGGCTGAAGTGGATGCTGGTGTCACACACAAGGCTGCCCCATCTCCAGGGACGCTGCTGGCAGAAATTACTATAGAACAGTTTCCTGCCAACCTCAGCAGCTCTAATGAGTCAGGAAGCAGTAATCTGGGAGTAGGGCAGCTGTTGAAAG